GGCACCACAATGGTTAGAAGGCAATATTGAAAGTTAACTCACTGCTCACTGCCAGGAGTTAGATTTTGACTCAGGCTCAAGGTTGACTCAGCCTTCCATCCTTCCGAGGTGGGTAAAATGAGGACCCAGATTGTTGGGGGAAATATGCTGACTCTGTAAACCACCTAGAGAGGGCTGAAAGCCCTATGAAGCGGTATATAAGTCTAACTGCTATTGCTATTGCTATGACACTTTGGGCTACAAGAGGCTGACATGTATTAGCAGATAAACTACAGGAGGTGGTGCTTTTTTGCTGTCATAGTTCTGCTATTGCTCATTGTGGATCAACTCAACACTGAGTACAACAAGAGTTATAGTCTTGACCTCTTATGTGTAACCTCTTATGTGGGACTAACTATCATTTCAAGGATAGTTAGATTGGTTGATTGAAGTCAGATGCTTAGAAATAGCACTTATATACCGCTACACAGTGCTTTACAGCCCTCTCTAAGCGGTTTACATATTTCCCTCCCAACAATCTAGGTTCTCATTTTACCAACCTTAGAAAGATGGAAGGCTGAGTCAACCTTGAGCCCGAGTCAAAATCTAACTCCTGGCAGTGAGCAGTGAGTTAACTTTCAATATTGCCTTCTAACCATTGTGGTGCCACAACTCAGGAAGCATCCTGGGTTGTTGTAAAATGTCATCGCAATAGAAGTTTTGGAAGACAAGGAAGAGCAGGAAGTGATTTCTTACCTCCCTTCGGAGAATGCAGTGAACCATGACAATGACTAACCCTTGCAATGAATCAAATACAGCAAAGAGTATCTGAAATAAAATGGATCGCTTGTCAGTCATTGCCAGAACAGCAGACATCCATGTGAGAGCCAGGAGCGGTAGAACCACACAGGAACTCCACAGCGATGCCCTAAACAGGGGCAGAGAGGGGGAAAAAAACAGTGACAAGAAGATTGTAGGACTATTGAAACAACAACAAAAAAGCCAACTTTAGAGATACAGGCATATCCAAATATATAAATCTAATTTAAGGATGGCAACATTTTTTTTAAAATGTGAAAACCCATGACATTATATAGTTATTAGAAAAACTAACATTGTAAAATATTACCCAGCTGAATTATAAGGTGCGGTTGCCATTTTCCCTTTTCCCTTTTTTAAACAATTAATTATGTTCAATATTAGCAGTTTTAATCTTTCATCACTGTAGCATTTTTTTTTCACATGCACTGCATAAGATTTGTAACAAGAAGATGTAAATGATTAGGACTAACATGGCATTACTGGCGGTGGTGGCTGACAAAGCTGTTGTTGAAACTACTCCACACTTGGCACATTTGAGCGTCAAACCGCTATGAGGCTCACTCATCTGACTGCAAACAAACAGAACACCCACAAAAAAGAACACAATATTGAATTTTTGGTCACTGCTGAAATTTAGCTTTTCAAATATGATGTCATGCAAGAAAAAAAAAAAGCAAGTTGACTTATTCAGGATGAAACACTCTGATTGATTTTAAGCCTATATAGAAACCATACATTAAAAAAAAATTACACATCGAAAACATGTTAATTCTATTGGGGGAGGGAAAGGCTTCATTTTATCCAAGGTCTAATTCTTCCATTTGGTAATGTTTGAAGCCTGTCCTGCCCCAATCGTCATAGATAAATGTTCTATTGATCACACTGAAGGAAACATGCATGTGGAAGGTTAAGACAAACAACAGAATGGTCCCTCTAATCAGACCATTCAGAAGAATAAGGATTTGCTCTTAATAGAGTAATGGAGCAGATTAAGAAGGCAAAAATACATTACACACATTTCCACTGAAATTGGAACATGCCCCTGAATGAGTACGGTTCTGTCAATCTATCATGGGAATGTATGAAATGGCTTTCCCTCTTAAGTTTCCACTGAATTTAAGTTAATGCTGGTCTGAATAGAGTTTGAAATGAATGAAATTTAATGAAAGTGTTAATTCAGGCTAGAAATTTAATAAAACACAGTACAAAAGCATTAAGATTAACATATATTTATACAGATACTAATACAGATTCTATATTGCAGCACCTAGCAGCTGCTTCTATCTATTTTCACTGTTTTTATGACAAATTCATTATCTGGCTATTTTTATCCTTCTATTCATCTTAATTTATTTCTATGATGGAAGTTTTTTTTAAACCAGCTAAAGTAGTTATTATTACATACTGAAGACAAAAGAAGAACATTAAAAAAATTATTCAACTGACTTGTAAAATATTGCACTTTCCAACCCCTTTAGTTATAATAATTTATAGTTTTATTTTAAAGCCATAGAATGAAATAAAAAGGTTCTTCTGAAGCAGAAGGTACAGTTTTTTTTAAAAAAAACAATGCATCACTTATTTCTAGAACAAATCATACAAATAAAGCACACAAATAAAGTGGAAAGTATTCAGATTTTCATTTGTTTTGTACACATAAACATGGTGTGGGAAATGAGAATCTTACACAATGGTAATTTTTATTTTCAGGTTTGTTTTGTTCAAAGCTACATAAAAGCATATATAAAAGAAAATAAATAAATAAATGTTGTGTACAGTATATGGAACATGATGATGTAGACTAAACATTCTTGCACTGTGATATGTTGAAAATTGATATTAACTTTGATAACTTTAATAATTTGATATCTATCCACTAATTCATACTTCTCAACTTACAAGTGAATGAAACCTGTCTGTATACAAATTCTGCTTCTTTACAAAAAAATTCAGTGTGATTCACAGCTTAAAAATGTGCACAAAATGAGTGTATGTATGTATGTGTGTGTGTGTCTCTCTCTCTGCCCTTAGTGAATATAAAAAATTGTACATTACAAAAAAAAATGCAAACAAAAATAGCTTCAAAAAGCAAAATATATTTATCCAGAATTTTTGAAATGTTTGCAAACTGTTCAAACTCATATACAATTTTCAAAAGAAATTTACAGCTGAGAAGATAAAAATGGGAGCAGAATTGAAGTGAACAGTTGTTCCCATTCTTACTGTTATAGACAACCCTGCTTTCTACAGGAACATTGATCAACTGATGCAAAAGAGGAGGTGACTGTTATGGAAGTCCATGAGGGTACAGCTGGCCAACTTCAGAATATTTGGAAGTTTAACCATTTCTCAATTTGATGAGGGGAAAACCCCTAGAGAAACTCTCTTCAGGAATTGAAAAATAGAACATGTGAGAATAATATAGAAATGTATTACAGCATTAACATTGTCTGCCCTATTCTCTTTCCCATGCTAATGGCAAAATTCTGAAGGAGAAGTAAAACTCTTTCTATCCAACAGAGATGAATGTGGAGAGTATATAGTAGCAATA